TGCCAACCGCCCTCCGCGAGGCGGGTGGGGGGGGCCGGGAACGGAACGGGACGGGGCGCGCGCCCGCCGCTTCCCGCCCTCGGCGCGCGGCCGCCGCTTCCCGCCTTTTCTTCTCCTCAGGGCCGCCGGGCGCGGGCGGGCGGGCGGCCTCCCCTTGCTCACCGCAGCGCTTCAGGCGGGAAGGGTGTGGGGAGGGTGTCCCCCAGCTCCTCACTCCGCCGCTTCTTTTCTTCCTCGCCCACACCCTGTGCTTTTTAAAAATTCTTTTGTTTGGTGGTTTGGTTTGGTTTTTTTTTTTTTTTTTTTTTTTCTGTTTTTGTTTCAAAGGGCTGCAAGGTCTGTGGGCCGCTTGGCTAGTGGGGGAGGGCCCCGCTTCCCGGGTGCCAGCCGCCCCCCTCCACCCCGGGGCTCCTGCGCTGTCACGCCTCAGCCACATGCTTGAGAAACTACCACGTCGCTCTTCCACAGTGCGTAGTGAAATTTATTTTTGACTCGAAGGTGGTGTTTCCAGCTGCGTGGGCAAGGATAGGAAACTACCGGGGGGGAGGAGGGAATAGGTTCAGGCATGGGCTGTGGTCTGTCTGCTCGGTGCACTGAACCTGCCCTGTAACCGCAGGGGCGGCTAGGCTGGCGTCTCCAACTCCACGTTTTGAGGTAACTGCAAGCTTTGCACACCCGGGTGTTCTTCAGCTGCAGGTTTCTGGAGCAAGTCATTATGGGACACGCGCTTTCAGCTTCAAAAACATTCCTGCTGCTTGCTGTGAGAAAGACGGAAAATAAGAGCCGGGCCTATCCTGTTGGCTCGAAAATAAAGCCGAATGCCACATTATTACTTCAAGTACTCAGTGGTGTTTAAGTCAGTTACAAGTTTTGGAAGACTTGCTTATGACTTTTAAGCTCTTAAAAGTAGAAATATTTTGTTTCTAGAGTGAGTGTTATAAAAATACTCAGGAAACAGCTGAACAGGGAGAGGGAGGGTACTTGCATTTGACCACACTGCACATCATGAGACACTCAAGATCAGGAACTGTGGCCAAGCCTCTGGTAATTAGCTAAATCATATTTATCATGCAGCCCCAGACCATGCCAGTGTCCAAAAATGATGTAGTTTGCATAACAAATATGGAACCAGTCAACACAGGAATTATAGTTATTTTTGTAGATAGCTGTAAAAGTTTTAATTCAATGTTTCCATGTAAAAAAAGCAGTTAACTTACAAGTTTTCTCTAATAAAGCATACTAAAAAAAAGTGTGAAAAAGAAGGTATCAAATTATTGATGGAAAATACTTTTACTCAAGCCTGGTGGCATTTTAAAGTGGTGTCCCTCTCATTTCATGTCTTGCAAAGCTCCTTGCCCTACTAAATGTGTGCACTGCCTCATTATTTCACTTCTCTCTCTTTGCAGGAAAGCAGCCACGCTTTCTTCTTCCTTAGACCAAGGTACTAACTCTCAAGTGGTCGGTTAAGGTATAAGAACTATGTCAGGGTTTTCATTTTTAATTTCCTTGAGCTGCTGAACAGTTCATAATTAGGACCACCTCAAAAGATCCAGCGTTCCCATGTGTTGAATGTTTTCAGTTTTACTCAAAGTTAACATTTCACGCTTATGCTGTATAGGCAAAATGATTCAGTTTTTAACGTGTCTGCTATAAACTAGTCATATTTCAGTCTGAATATCCTCTGTTCCTAAGGATGTTTATAGCCTATTGTCATGTAACTGTCCTACACAGCCCATCAGTCCCCAGCTTGTTAATTATTGTAAAATAATATCTTTACTATAGAGCTTTGTCTGCAGTTTTGAATCTTTATAAAGTTAGGCTCCTGGTCTGTGTCTTCAGTCAAATGACTCATTCCTTTTCCAGTTTATGATATTTCAAAGTCACAGACTGATAAATTGTCATTACAGATTTGTAAGCTCGGGGAGGGGGTGGGGGGGGAAGCTGGTTATCTTTAAGAATAGGGTGATGGCAGGGGGGAGGATTTGCTAGGACAAAATGTGAAGTCATGTATTTATGAATTACTAGGTATTCTTGCTAACTGCTAGAAGCTCTGTCAGGAGGAAATAATAGAAGAGGGAAAAAAAATTGTAAACTTGATCATGGTGTGAGTAGATATTAAAAAGGCAAATATTTTATCCTAGGAAATAATGTAGAGAGATTTCCAGGAGTACAGGGTCACGTGAATGACCTGTGCAAGGCTCTGGAGAGATGTTACCTGGGATGCAGAACACAAGTTTTGTCTCTAAGGTGGGTCATCTAAAGCAGGGATAATGTGAAGGAGGGCCATGATGAACATAGTGGCATTTTTTATAGGCTGGCAAACCCAGGCTGTTTTGATCTCTGCCCTTGAAATAAAAGCAGAGGAAGACATGACTGATTATCTGATGGTAAATGTGAGGGGAAGTGAAGATTTAAATTGGAGCACAAATCTGGCAGTAAGAGAAAAAGGCCGTGAATAATCCTGGGATGGAAAACAGAAAGAGGTTTCTGATCACCACACAGTAGATTCCAGGGCTTCCTTAAAGTTCATAGGAGCAGAAAACCTTCCTAATTATTAAATGCTTCTGGAAGGGGAATACAGAGATTATCTGCAATAGCAGAGAACTGGGCTTGATTATCCCAGATATCTTTTTTTTTAACATTGTATTTCCAGAACCTTTTTCCAAGTGATGGAAAAGCATCAATTTAAGAAGAGTCATTGACACAATGCAGAAAGTAAGTAGGAGAATCATGTTTCCATGTTGTCTTATCGCACACCTGAGCTATGGTGATTCGCACTCGCTGTCTTTGGTTTTAGACAAAGACACTGTGTCTTTGGTCCAAGTGATTGGGTCAGATCACAGTTTCATTTGTCACTTCATTAACTTGTAGATTCTCAAGTTGCATGAGTATTATTCCTGATTTCTGGACCGCTTTGTGGAAAACATACGTAGTAAACGAACAAAAATGCACTAAGCCTCCATCAGTCTTCCTACCCTAAAACATTCATTTCTCAGTTTTAAAATATAGCTGAGTTGCAGGGCCCGGAAAACCCAACCCCAAAGCACAATGTGATGAAATAAGTATAAAACTGTAATAAACAGATGCAGCAATGACCCCAAGGGTCCAGAAGTGCACCTGCCCTAATCATGCTGAAGACCGTCAGCGAGCCTTCCGTCTACAGCGTCTTGGGTTTGTTGTTTTCCTTTTTCTCTCTCAGCTGTCTCTCTGGCTCATCAGAGTTCAAAGCTGCAAACATTAACTATGTTGATATCAAATCATGCCAGGTACGGACTGTTCTGTACTGATGCTCTGTGCTGATCTGAGATCTAGGCCAGCTATTGCCTTTTTAGGCCTTTTCTTGGTAAATAGCTCTGGGCTTTGGTTGAAGCAAAATGCCATGACTAGTGCTTAGCTTGCACATAAAGTCAAGACCGCGTTGGTCTGGCACAGCTCATGCTTCCTCGTGAATCATGGAAGGGTTTGAGTCGGAAGGGACCCCTAAACGTCATCTGGTGCTGCCCCCCTGCCGTGGGCAGGGACATCCTGCACTGGGTCAGGTTGCTCAAAGCCCTGTCTGAGCCCTGCATAGGGTGAGCCTCCTTTCAGAAGGCTGTCCTAGATGTACAAAAGTCATTATTTAACAATTCCCTCAGTACTTTGAAATTCCTATTTGCTTGAATGTATTAAACGACTTTGTAACTTGATTTTCTTCTAAACAGCAATGCTATTTTGTTGAGAAAAACAGCTAACTTAAGTTTTATTTTACTCTTAGTCATTTGACTTTAATGTACAGTCCGAGGAGTGCGATCTGTTAACGAATAATGCAAAGAAAGCAGCATTTGTTTAACAGTTGAGGCTGCCTTACCATGTTTACATGATGTGTAAACGGAGCCAGGACAAATTGCACACAAAGGAAATTAAGTGTGTAGAAAAGAAGTTACTCTTCCATGTGTGTGGGCATCACAGCGTGCGATTGCCACACTAGTTCCAATAAAGGCTTAGACTACTTGGCTCTGCAGTGTAAAATAAAATGAGTCAGAAGCCTGCCAACGCAAAATAGCTCCGTGTCACCCTGCTAAACCCTCTGCATGAATAGCTGTTGTCCCTTGAGTGACCTAACCCAAGTCATCGCAAACAGCTTTCCCGCGCTGTTTTGGGTGTTAGCGCTTGCTGTGGGCTTTAAAGGTGAAGGGCTCCCTAAAATGCTCTGTAGTGTTTCTGACCGGCTGTCCCTAACAGGTTGCGGATCCATTTGTCTTGCTGGTGACCCTTCTGCAGGAGGGGCTGTCAAACGGCTTCCCACCTGGCAGCGCTGAGGGAGCTGGCGGCAAACGGAGCGCTCTTGTCAGACATGCTTGCAAGTGGAGGTGAGACGTGGGTTGGAGGGAACTGCTGACCTAGCTCGAGATGCGGTGGGCAGCTGGGGATCTGCGTGATCACCTAGCTGCCGCGTCCCTGAACGTGGTGGTGCGTCGAAGCCCTCAGGGTAGGGTTACTCCTGTTAGGTTGGTTTATTTCTCCTGGAGCTGCTCCCCTTGGCCCCACTCCTGACGGTATCCCTGCCCAAGGACCTGCAGTGGCTTCTTTACCTGTGGAGCCACCACTGATGGTGGGGAAAAGAACTTTTCTCCCGTGGAGTTGCAAGGGATGTTTTCGGTAAAGCGCAGGGTTCCCCATGTCTCGTGTTGGCCCCTTAGCGTGTTGTGTGAGGGCAGGGGTGCTGCCGGCTCTGCCTCCCTGGGGTTCACTGGGGGCTGCTTTCAGCCTGCTGCCTGCTTGGCCGTCGCCTCGCCTGCAGCCTTTGCCGGGCTGCCGGAGGAGACCGCGGCGCTCGGGTGGGCATCACTGTCCCATTCTGGAGATGCCCTTCGCAGCCTGAGGCCATTTGTCCTAGGAAAACGGCTGGGACCTCTCTCAGCCCCCCACCCCAAAACACACGCTTTGCCCTCGGCC